TTTTTATAAAAAAATAAACAAAACTTGCTGAAACAAAATCTGCATTCAGAGCAAGCCAATTTTTATTAAAATACTTTGATTTTCGAGTATTTTTGTTTGTAAATTTGTCAAAAAATAAGATTGTTTTCAGGTTGATAATAAAATACAATTTTGTTTGCTCACAGGTGGAAGAGATCAGTTCTACTGTATAAAAGAGTCTTCTAAAAATGTCATACGTTCCATCTTGAGATTTCGAGAATTCTGCTCATTTGTACTGGACTGCAAACAGATCACAATTGAGTGAGGATGAGGGGGGGGGTCTAGTATTTATAGTTAGAAGGATTATACATGACGGGAGCGAAGGCGTACTCCGTGAGCTCTCGATGCTGACGCTTGAGTTTAAGATGGAAGGATGAGACGGGGATGAGTAACAAGATAATAAGAAAACTCGCAATGGCTCCTCCAAATCCTAAAAATATTCCGAGTTTTAATAAATACATTTTTTTGATGCTTTATTATTGATAATAATTAATAATAGTTATTAACAATAAATAATAATATAAAATCTATATAATAAAGCTCTTCGCTCATGTATATATATAAATATATACTTAATTTGAATAGAACTATAAAGCAATAATCAGAACAGCTATATATATATTTATATATAGTGAAACCCAGATATATGAATAAATAGCAAGAGTTTGTAACGTGAGTATCGTTGATATTATATCCTTCAGGGATAACTTTTATTGAGGGATCAAGTATTTATCCTCAAATTCAAAAGTGTCCACATTGGATATCGAGATCAAATCCATGATTACCATTAAGAGGAAAAATGACAAAAAAAATTTCGCAGATAATCTTACTCAAGAAACATAGATTTTTACCAAAAAATCGAGTTTTTTAATGTATTATCGTACATGCACTTTATGTCAAATTATGAATAAAGCTCTTCCAGTAGGGGGTGAAAAATAAAATGTTTAAAGATCAGGATTATCAAGAATAAAATTTTAAAAAAGTAAGAGATTTCTCATTTAATATAGTGGAATTAACGTATATACATTTATACATAGATAAAATATTCACAATGATTGAAATAAATCCAGTTTTTTTACACAATAAATGTATAGATAGTCAATGTAATTAGTGAATATATCATAAAGGTGTCCACTATAAAGAGACTTCAGAAGAAAAGCTCTCACTCATCAGTTTTAAACTTACGCTGGGTGATTGGATTTTGACTTAGGACAAAGTTTATGAGAAACACTAGCTCTAAAAGAGTCTCTGTACATGTATAAAGATATTTTTCCAGTATAAGGCCCTTAACTTTCAGGGGAAAATATGAATTATAATTGGCAAGGTAGTTTTTGATGTAGACCATACAAAAAAGCATTTTTATCCACTCCTCTTTCATGTCCTTAATCTTCCCTATGATGAACATTTACTTTGCTTTTCTGTTTGTTTTTTTGCATCCAATAAACGTCAAAACGGCTGAACCGATCGGGCCCAAATTTTTGTGGGACCTCACGTGAACCCAGGGAAGGTTGACGTATGATTGAATTTTCAATAATTTGTAATAGACAACCTTCAGGGTATAAATTAAGTCAGGTGAAAGCTGAAAGGTGGTAAAGGAAGCCTTTTATTTGATAGAGTTTGTCAATTCTAGAAATGATTGGGAAATTGGAATGAAACCCAGCTAAAATCCACAATTTGATGTGCAGCATGAATGGGGTTGTACATGGATTAAGGGGAGGGGGTAAAAAAATTCTAGTTCGTTTAATATTATATTGGTTCAGGGAAGTTATTTTAAATTTTATTTCGTCTTTTATAAAAATTTCTCAGAATAATTTCTAGGCATTATGGGCTGAGCTCGTTGCTATCAGGATACGGTCGAATAAACATTGGAGACTTTCATACTTATATATAATATATTCTTACAATTTTAAGTTCTTAAATTCCATCCAATTTTATGCATATCAATGTGTTCGCCCTTTAATACCGGGAGTCAGGACTTTTGTATTCTGAATCACGGGATCGGGCTTTTGTATTCTGAATCACTTTGTTGTAAATATTTGAAAATATGTTGAAAATATTTGGCCAACTAAACCAAATTACTAGAATTTTTTTTCAAACCTGAGTCGAACTTATGCAGGGTGTCCTTCGAAACATGAGAGTTGAGAGAAAGCTTTCTATGAGCGTTTTAATCTTTGAAATTATTTTAGTACACAATTTTCCGGTCGTCTCTCTATACCGTCATTTTATTGGGACACCCTGTATATTATTTTAATCCATTCCGCAGTAAATTCTCTACAGTGATAACCAATAACAAGAGGAAGAAATTAAACTTTTGTTTTATTTTAAATTGATAAGATATTTAGAGTGCACATTGTAATTTATTAAAAACTGATAATTTTGTCAAATTTTTGTTGAATCTGAAATTGAAAAGACTTCAGGCATGTTACAAGTTACAGAGAACCAAGTAATACAAGAAAATTAACCTTTTTGTGTCAATTTTAATATTTGCTAACTATTCTCTTTAACATTAAGACTCTCCGACCCCCCCCCCCTTTAAAAAATAAAATATCAAACTATAACATCAATTAATCTAAACCTACTCTATTTCCTTACTAATTTTGTTTCTTATTATTAAAGGGGCCGAAAAGAAGGATTAATTGTTTTTGTCTCGTTTTTGAGGTTTTATTGTTGAGAATTTAAAAAAATTTCTTCTGAAAAAAATTTGTTTATTTCTATTTGGCGTTAAAACGATGGTGTTAAAACGATGTTGTTTAAACGATGTTGTTAAAACGTTCGTGTTTAAACGATGTTGTTTAAACGATGTTGTTAAAACGGTGGTGTTTAAACGATGTTGTTAAAACGATGGTGTTAAAACGATGTTGTTAAAACGATGGTGTTAAAACGATGGTATTAAAGCGATCGTTTTTTGGTTCGTTTTTCCCTTATATTTTTTCTTTATAGGACAAACAAATAAAGCAAGATTTGAATTAATAAAATCTATCTTTTACAGAAAACATCTTAAGTTTTATTAAAGGAACTGAGTTTTTGTCGCAAACTCTACTTTTCTAATCTCCATATCTTTGCTACCCAATGTCGTAGACCTTTAATACTTCAAACTATGAATTCTGTTAGACCAAATAATCTAAGTTTGAAATATCAAAGATTTACATAATCAGATTATAGGGATTAGTCAATTTGAGTTTGTGACAAAAACTCAGTTCCTTTGTTTAAAATCTAACCAAAGCGATTAACTACCCTACTGACGGGTCGTGTGAAAACACAAGATACAATGAGAACCATAAAACATTGGAATAGGGAGACGACATTAGAGCAATATTTAAGTGTATTAAATAATGTTACAAAGTTTCTAAATACTTAAATCACTAATTTAGTTAAATGGGCTTGTTAAAAATGCAAATTTGTTATGTATCATGGTCATTGAACTTTTTAAAGCTATATTTGATTCTAAAAGTCGTCTTCTTATTTTATTTTTTTAGGTAATCACTGTAATTAGAACATTACGGGTTACGTACCGACATAGTCAGCAAAGGGTAGAGAACACCAATAACAGCTCCGCATCCCGTATCTACTCCAGTCTATATAACCATGATACTTGAGCAGGTTGTATGCATACCAGACCCAGTACATGATGATCAGCAGGATCTTCCAGACGATCCAAAATAGAACGATCTCCTTACTGTACTGTTTAGCTCCACCGATTAAACAAAGGTTTGCCAGCAGGCTAAGAATAGAAGCAACAAATGCAGGGCCTGAACAAACAGAATTTTATTGTTCTACGAGTTTTTAACAAATCTTATTTTTAAGGACTTCTTAACCCCACCCTAAAGGGTAGGCAAGCCTTAAGGGGGGGGGGGGGCTGGATGCACTTCTAATGTAATTAATTCCAATTTTTACCTATATCTTCCCAGTTAGGTGCGTAGGTATCTTGTGTTTGAATTGCTAAAGAATCCCCGAAAAGCATGAACAAGCAGAATCCTATCCCTGCCACGGATAGAAGGAGTAGAATACATCCTATACTCATACAATAGTTCTTTAGGCAGGGTAAACTACACGACATTTTCAGATCTTAGGCCAGTTCTCCATAAACACCTAGTTCTTGGGGCCTGGTTTACACCTATATGCAATGCATATGTTTGTACGAATAGCTGTTTTATGTTTACATTTACCGTAACATAATTTGGTAGTGCAAGACTGAACCTGAAATTCTGACGAATAGGAGACCTAGTTTTATATCTTTGCCCTACCCGAGCTGTAACCTCCTCTCTCATTGGTGGATAGATCCCAATCAGGAATACGTAAAAAATAAAATATTGTTTACTTTCATCTTGAAAAGCTGCTTATACAATAAACAAAAAGGTCGTCTGCTTATAAGTATAATAGGTGACATCTAAATACATTCATATAGGCAATATTGGGGGTAATTATTGTTGTAATTTCTACACCATTAATTAATTAAATAATTTACATGATTGTATGTTAATTAATTCAAATCTAAACATCATGCATTAATTGGCAGGATTCGTGGGAGGTAAAGATCTGAGGCCAAATTGCAGGGGTATACAGAAATATGTTCAGGGAGGCATCACAGCCATATGACACTCCAGGGGGTGGGAGCCTCCCAGCCATATGACACTCCAGGGGGTGGGGGCCTCCAAGCCGGCCATATGACACTCCAGGGGGTGGGGGTGCATTTTTTGATGCATAATTTCTCCCGAAAATTATGGTTTTCACTTTTGTGTGAAGGGGTCGGGGTGGCTTAAGCCGAACGCCCCCATCAAACATATAGCGATTGCTAACCTGTCATATATCCATGGGTAAATAGTTACTATAACGAGTGACTGTTAGTTTCAGGTATACGCCCCTGAAGGTGGGTAGCGTGATGAATTCCTTAATTTCTCTTTCCTGAATCCCCGGATGTAACTTATTTTAATTATGCACTACAACTGCAAGGCCAAATTAAAATATTTTTGGTTTTCCCATATTTGTACCTGAATTCTTGCCAACTCAAAAAACTTTGAAGTATTTTAGAAATGCTACGAAACAGGCACAGGGGGGCACATGGGAATGATCCCTCCCCCCTTTCCCCCCAAAAGGGGGCAGCACATTAACTAAGACAAAAAAGAAGAAAATGAAAAAATGAAAAGAAGGAAAAAAATTTGAGAAACTTGGCAAAAAATCCTATTTTTGTTTTCAATATTAAGTGTTAGGGATTATGTTTTCTTCAAATTAAAGAAAAACTGAGCAATTGCATCTCTGAAATAAATTATTTGGAAATTTGGGAAATTTCTATACTGTCTCATTCGGAATGAGTTCGTCTTATAAAATGATAGGATTTAAAATCATTTTTTTTAATTTTCAGAAATTTATCCATTTCCCTTCTTTTACAGTAATTTGGTAACCTAATAATTTGGTAACCTGACAATTTGGTAACCAACAATTTGCTAACCTAACAATTTGGCTAGGTTAGGTTAAGACGATTTCTGGGTCGAATGCTGCGGCTAGGACAGGCTAGGGGGCCGAGAACTGTGGTCATATTTATCCAAATACAATGATATCCGGTATGTAGGGTTAGGTTAGGTTAAGACAATTTCTGGGCCTAACGCTCTGGCTAGGGGGCAGAGCGCTGCAGTCATATTTATTATACTAAAAAGTGTAGTGGTCCACAGAAAAAAAGCGAAAAACGTATACGACCTTTGTTAAAAAATACAATGGTCCGCAGAGATAAGTGGAAAAAGAGGACAATTGTTAAAAAATACAGAAAAAAGTTGAAAACGACGTTTGTTTAACAAAACATTAGTCCACAGAAAATAAATATACAAACAATGATTGTGATAACGTAAGTTTCAATTTAAAAAATTGTTAGTTACCAAATTGTTAAGTTACCAAATTGTTAGTTACCAAATTGTTAGTTACCAAATTGTCAAGTTACCGAATTATTAGCTACCAAATTGTTAGTTACCAAAATGTTAGTTACCAAAAATCCGCCCATCCCCCTGACCTCCTGAAAAATTGCTTTTATCCGAATTATTTTTTATTCTCCATGACTTAAAGGAGACAATTCCCAAAAACCTACGGTGTCAAACGTTTACGTTATTTAAAATTTTATTTTTCGTCAGTTTTCTTTGGTAAATAATACAAACAAAAAAATCAAGAAATTTCGTTAAGGAACAGTTTGAAAAGTCGTTCTTGCTAGAGTCAAAATTTTGCGAAGCGTAATAAGCAAACTGAGATGATCTTAGAGTTTATTTTGAAATGAGGATTTTTGATAATAAAGACGACATTTTCATATTTTCCTGAAATGTTCGAAAATCAAACGCCAGCGAAAATTATTAAAAAAAAGTCAAAAATATTATGAAATATTAACTATATACGAATGCATCGAAAAATAATCGATGACTTCTGTTTGTAATATCTGAATGATTTGTTTACGATCCGAGTTGACTGTTGCATCTTTCCGAATTTGTATTGACGCTGCGTTTTTCGGTTGGAGTCGTTTTTAACAATTTTCTCCTTATAGACGCAGCAGAAAGAAGTAAGATTAGTAGCGATCAAAAGCGCTTTTTTATCCCATTAAGCCTATACCCCCTTTCATTTTTCGCGAACACTCCCTTTAACCTTCAAATTTATAGAATAATAGACCTTATTAAGATCTCAATCTTCGTGGGTAACTTTTTATCTACAACGTAATATGGTTGATAATTCAGCTAAAAGCTTACTACATACTTCTACATCAAATCCCGATATGATGATTATCTATGCACAAGAACTGTTGATGCTATCTAAATCCAGCCTTTCAGAAGTCCTGATCAACAGTTCATTGCCTGGCAGAAATTCTCATAATAGTCCCACTGGGACTGCTGAGAATCACCACAGAAGTAAGTAAGAACTCCTAGAATTCCAGGTAGGATTATAGCAGGATCTTCAGTGTGGTCATTTGTAGCATCTTTGGATTAGATGATGTTATCCAGTCCATTCTAGAATAATTTTACAGTTCTGCTCTCTTTCAGTTCAGTTGGCAATCTATATCCAGGGTTCAACTACCCTGTTTGAGAAAAAGTTACTCATTACATCAGTCCTTGTTGGTCTCCTAACTTGGTTTAAATAATAATAATCATAATAATGTCTTGAAAGCTCATTCCCAACAGTTTCAAACCATATACTGCTATCCATATTTATTTGTACCAATTTTTTTCTTTACTGTTGCTCATTAAAATTGTGGACATCGAAAACACTGCTTTCCACCCTCAATAAACTTAATGATTAAATTTGAAAAATGTTGTTCATACACAGTAAAAATAAATAAGAATAAACGATTGCACAATAATTATGAACTTTGGACGCGCTGAAGTGGATCCCAGGGGTGTATATTTTTCAGAATTACCCCCCGGGGTGGAATGGGGGTTGTTTTTTGATGACGGGGGGGGNATACTTTTTGCCCAAAAAGCGAAAAAAACGAAAAAAAATATAAATGCATATTAAAATTGATTTATTTTATAAGTTTTTTTAAAAATTAAAACATGACTTTTATTTTAATTATATTTGTTTCAGATCCTATTGGTCAAAGGTCATTCTCCTCGCCAGCCGCGGATTTCTTGACACGAGACGGCAGATCCTGGTCTATCTATTTCGGAGCTTGTGAAAAAACTCCTCCAGCTCCTTGAAATACTGCCTGGAATACTCCATACTCTCGTTTAAGGAGTGGAGGCGGCGGGATTTCTCCTGAACCTCCTCCTTTAGCTTTTTGTGGTCGCGCTTTAGCTGTTCGCTGGTCTCCTTAAGATAGTCCAGCTCGTTCCTGAGCTGAGCCACCTCCTCCTGGTGCTGCTCACGCTGCTGAAATTTAGATAATATTAAAATCTATGAATATCAAAAAACATGGCAGTAGCAAGACGACTCGAAAGTCGTTATTGAACTTTTAATTCATTTGTGACATTCAGTCGTCAACGTACTTTCACATTTTATGATTATGAATACAGGGATGTTTAAAATACAGGGATGTATAAAAAACGAAGAAATACTTTTTTTGCTTAATTCAGAAAAATGACAATATGGTTCAGAAAATGAATTAATTAACAAAATGAAGTAAATGAAGTAAACATATTCAAAAAACCCTAAAAAATTGATTTATTTCCTAAGTTTTCAAAAATTAAAACAAGACTTTTGTTTCAATATATATGTTTTAACCCTATTGGTCAATGGTCATTTATCCGATTAGTCAATCTAACTGCCTTCTTATCCCTTCCCTTTATAGACCGACTTAATATTAATAATAAATGTTGTAATAAAATCATTTATTAAGGATTAAAATATTAAGCAAATAAATATTGTGCATATAATTAAAAGGCTAAAGATCCCATGAAAAAAACCTCTTTGGCTGGATTTAAGTCACTGTACAACTTGATAAACATAATATTTCACCTTGAAATTAATATAATTGGTAAGTGCATTTACTGCAGGACTCAAGACTAAGGGTTCCCACAAATTAAAACCATTTCTAACCCATAAGAGAATATCTCCCTGAAGTTTAAGTCAACTAAAAGATTACAAAAATAAAATGCAAATCGTCCAATAGTTTTGCATGAAGGATGGAGCTGAACAGAATTATTAATATCACTAATTAGTTCCACCTCTGGTTATTTAAGGCTTGGGAACCGGAGGCTGTCCTCCCTTTATACCTGGCCTCACTACAGCTGGGGCAGCTAGGCCGGGGTGGTGACCGGCACGGATAGGTTTAGCGATCTGAGCAGCGTGACCTCGCTTCTGCAGGTTCTTCTGTCTAACGGCCTCCTTGATCCTGTCGACCTCATATTGGTATCTCTTCCTGTCCCTCATAGCTCCTTCCTTAGCCTCCTTCAGAGCAGTTTCTAAGGCCTGTAAATAACAGAGGTTAATTTTTAAAAAAACTAAAATTAAAAACTTTTCTAAGATAAATTTCCACTTTTTGACGTTTCACAAAAATCGTGTTAAACGTGAACCACAAAAAAAACATTTTTGCTCTACATCAGTTTAAGCGGACGTTTGAAAAAATAAAAAATAAAAAATTTAAAAAATGTAACCAAATTTAAATTTCAATAACTTTATTAGCATATTATACATTAATCTAATAAAAGCTCTCCCTGGCTCCAGTTTAAGCCGTTTGTTTCATTAAATTTTACCTTCACACGTTCCATGGTAGCTCGGAGTCTTTTCTCTAACTTCGGGAGTTCACATCTTAGATCTGCGTTATCCCTCACCAACTGTTTGTGAACCTAAACCAAACATCTTTTAACAATTTGTTTAATTTGTTTAATTGATTTATTATCAAATAACTAATTATGTCCACTCCCCCCTCCAACAAACTACCCCGATTCCACATACACACCCCTCCCCCGTATATATAGAGAAGTTTTAATCAATTTCTACCATGCAACGAAAACAGTGATATATTTTCAAAGCAAATATTTCCCCTTTAAAAAAATCTACGGTTTCCCTTCGAAAGCAATGTTTACGCGGAAACTTCATTAGAGGTTTATCGCTTCACTTTGGGAAAATAAAGGATTTAGCGGGAGAAAAAGATGAATTTTGGTGGAAAGGAAAACTTGACAAAAAAGCCAAATTTTTCATTTTTCATTTTCCATTTTCCATCCCCCGCCACTCATAGTTCTAAGCTATTAACTTTAAACTTTGATATTTTAACGAAGCAATTGACATGAAATTTAATGAGCTTTGTGATAAAGAATGTAGGGGAACTGAATGATGTAACAGAATGCATCTCAGTAACGTTTGAATGCAAGCATTTTATAAACCAAGTTTGGGAAACATATGATCGACAAAGGGACATAATTCAAAATACTTTTACCTTTGTAAGCTGGTCAAGATTATTTTCTAAAAATGAAATTTTCTGTTTCTGAGCTAAACTGCCTCCTGCATCCTCATTCTCCTCTCCAGCCGCGGATTTCTTGACACGAGACTGCAGATCCTGGACAAACAACTTCCGGAGATTGTGAAGAGTTTGCAGCTCCTTGGCCACCGTCTCCTCCAGCCCCTTGAGATCCTGCCTGGCCTGCTCCCTTCTCTCATTTAAGGAGATCATCTCCTGGAGGCGGCGGGATTTCTCCTGCTCCTCCTCCTTTAGCTTCTCATGGTCGCGCTGCAGCTGTTCGCTGGCGAGGGAGAGAGCCTGGTTAGAATCCTTGAGATCGTCCACGGCGGACTGTTTCTCCGTAATCTCGTTCCTCAGCTGAGCCACCTGCTTTTGGTGCTGCTCACGGTGCTGAAATTTAAATAATATTAAAATCTATGAATAAAAAATATTTAAAAATATTTTTAACTACAGGGTGTCCCACGAAATATGACAGTAGCAAGACGACTTGAAAGTCGTTATTGAACTTTAAATTTATTTGCGACATTCAGTAGTCAACGTACTTTTATATTTATGATGCTTGAAACAATAACCACGAAATTCTCCTAGTCCTGTCCTATTGTGCTGTCATTATTACCTGAGATATTAGGAATTTCAATTTTAATAAATAAAACCAAAAATTGTTGAAATCAGAACATAATTCTTCGGTATTATTGAAAGCACAAAAAGGCAGACCACATCTTGGAAATTTCAAAACTATGTGTATTTTGTAATTATAAATTAAATTAAGTTAACGAATAAATCCCGCAAGTTATTTCAAAGATCAAAAACAACCTTCAATTCGTCTTCTCACTGTCATGTTTCGTGGGCCGTATTTATTACTACTTAACCAGAAGGTTAAGAGAAATTAATTGAATTGAGGGGGAACCCTAGCCGAGGGCTTACAAGACCTTTTAGGTTTTTTTAAACCTTAATAGTGTCGAGTTGAACGGGAGATTTAATAAACGAACCTGAGCAAGTTGTTCCTCTAAAGCTTCCTTGATGTTGGCTTCCTTCTGCTGCTGTTCACTAGCAACTGCATGCATCTGCTCGGATGCCTTCAATTGAGTAACCTGAAAATAATCATAAAATAAATCATTTTTACCCTTTTTGTAAATTAACAGACTAAAAATATGTTATAACATGTGTAGAGGTTTTAATACTTCTGGACTTGGAGACGGTTTTCTAAAAAATTCTTTCGACTTCAAAAGAAAAAATACAAAAGTTCGTAAGGTCGAGAAATAATCATATTTTACTAAAATTCAGAAAAAAATGAAAACACAAATTTAAAAATACTCTTCAATTACCCTACAGAAAAATTCAAAATTCAAACTATCGTTTTATTTGTCATAATTGAGTGTTTCCCGAAATTTTCCAAAAATTGAAAATGAAATGTGATAACTAAAAATTACCTCCTCCTGAAGAGCGTCCAAAGCTTCTTCTAACTGTCGTTTTTTAGTTTCTCCTTCCTTCATACTCTCATTCAGATTCTTCATCTTAGCCTCGTGCTAAATATTTAAAAAAGTTAGTTTATCGTGTTTACAATAGCAAACATGTTGTTAACTAAACTAATAGGTTTATGCTGACAATTTGCATTAGATATTCTCACCTGAACAATAGTTAATCTACATTCACTCAAATCCTTCTCCATCTCCTCGTTCTTCTTGTTCGCCTCGGACTGCTGCTGCTCCAGGGTTGCTGCTCTGCTCACAAGGTTTTTAGCCTCGCTCTTCATCTTACTGACAAAGAGACGAGCTACGGTAAACTCTTCCTCGACCTTGCCTTCGTTGTTAGGTTCAGGTTTCTTCAGATCTTGATTCTTAGCAATCACAGTTCCAACTTCTCCGAGGTCGGTGAGAAGAGACCGGAGCATCTCTGAGGTTCGTTTCCGTTGATTCTGCTGAGCTTCCTTGCAAGACTGGAGCTCTGACGAGGCAGAGTTCAGCTGCGACTGCTTCTGGCTCAACTCGTCGCTGATAGTGTTGTATTCTCGACTCTTGGTCTCAGCTTCCTGAGACTTCTGGTCGTAGTTTACAGCAAGCTCTTCTAGAGCCTGGAGAACCTCCTTAACCTCCTCCTTTGCGGACTCGTTTTCTGCTTGAATCTTTGTCATCTCCTTAGTAAGCGCCTCATAGTCCCGGCGTGTAGCACCGATCAGTTCTTCTTGCTCCATCATCTGCTCCTTTAGTTTCTCGACCAGCTGACTTTGCTCCTGGATCTCGTCATCCTTCTCATCCAACATCTGGTACATACGTTCTCTCTCCTCTTGGAGTTTATTCCTCTCCTCTAAACTAATCTGACTGGTTCCAAGATCAAGAACAGCTGACGGTTTGTCTAACTTGAGCTCCTGAGGAGCAGCAGAAACACTCTCATCCATCTCTGCGAAGTTAAGCTGCTCATCGGCAGATACAGTCTGCCCAGCTCTCCATCTCTTCAACTCCTCCTCTAGCTTATCTATCTTTATCTTCATCCTTCCATTTTTCTCTCTCTCCTTCTCATACCTCTTCTTCCACTCATCAGCTGTCAACTCTTCGTTTACGGCAACAACGTTCTTGATCGTCTTAGCTCTTTTACCGAAGTCAAGAGTACCCTTAGTCTCGGCTTCGTTAAAGCTGGCCGGGGAAGCACAAATTACGATTGTAGTTTTAGCGTTTCCTCCCAAGCTCTCCTGCAAGATCCTGGTGAGTTTACTGTCTCTGTAGGGGATATGAGACTTGTTACCGTCGGCCAGAGCAGCAATAACGTTACCTAGAGCTGACAGAGATTTATTGATGTTCTTTGCTTCTTCTAATCCCATTCCTTCTACTCCGGTCTTACCAACCTTCTCACTACCCGCTAGATCCACAAGATAGAGCTTTCCGCTCAACTTCTTCTGATTCTCCAGGTTCTCCTGCTTCACGTTGATCAAGAATACACTGTGGGACCTGGAGCTGTGCTCGTTCATGTTTGTCACAGCAACGTGTCGGTTTGATTTTCCCTCCTCGATGACCTCGAAGACCTCCTCGGGGCTTGAGACGAACCTCTCGGTTGCCCCCTTCACGTACACGGCTCGGTCCTTATCCTCGTGAACTGCTAGGTTCACCTTTGAAGCTGAAAAGAGTTTAAATCAATCAATTGTATTGTTTATTTTCATAAAAACAAACTTTTAACCCAACAATAGGTGAAAGAAAATCTCCATACAAATATATAGCAAACAATTTATTCACTTCAAAAGCTTATTGAAAAAATTTACATTGACATTTAGAAGAAGAAAAAAAAGCCATATAGGTTGAGAAGCGGAGAGGAAAATTAGAATTGTAATCAAGAATTATGTAAATCAAGATTTTTGCATAAAGATAAAATTAAATAATCAAATAATTAATGATGAACTTACGATCGAGGAGATCTCTGATCTTATCCAAGTATATCTCGAAGTAGGAAACTTTAATATGGAACTCCAAGTTCTCCTCCATGGAGTAGATGTGATTGAAGATGTCGTTCACAATCCTGGGGATGATTCCTTGTTTGTTGGGGTCGTTGATGACCCCCTCCATGGTGTGGGTCTTACCACTGGAAGTCTGTCCGTAAGCGAATATTGTTCCATTATATCCACACAGTACATCTAGACATAGATATTTAGCCCAGGGTTCAAACAGTACAGTTATATAGAATGTATTAATGTATATGCTTATTAGTTCAAAATCAGTTAAACCTCAACGCAAAGCAAAATATTAGTTTTTTGTTTGTGGGAAAACAACAAATAGCAAAATCGTCTTCTAATATTTTATTTAATAGTAAACTGTTAGAAGATTTTCACGTCTCATTCTATTTTTTGTCTTAAATGGGCGAAGCTAAAGGGTAACATGCATGATTCACAACGTTTCACTTTAACCTTTTGCCTGGCCTGAGCCAAAAATGAAGGTAGTATATCTTTAATGTGATCAGTTTTAAATTACGATTTCTCTGTAAAATTGATTTGCGGATCTTTGTATCTTAGACAAAGAAGAAAATTGACATAGTTTACTCTTTTAAGAAAAGAAAAATAAAGATTTTCCTTATTTTTAATCAGATAAAGGTTTATAGGGTACCGTTGTCAACCGGCCCGTTAAGCCTTTTAAATAAAGTTCACTTGAAAATATGTTGACATTCACTTTATCTGCTATTGATCCAATATTTAGTGAATATTCCCTTAGATCTCGTAAATATACCTTTAACAATACTCTTAGCTGCAGCATCGTAGACCTGAGTCTGAGTTACATTAGGTTTTAGCACTTTATCAAATACATAAACTTTGCCCTAAAATAATAAGATTATTAAATACATAAACGCTGCCTAAAATAATAAGTTTATCAAATANAAAACGAAATTGTCTCACATTAGTTGACATATTTTCCAAGATTAGATAAAAAAGTGTAAAAACAGAAACTAAAGAACTCATAAAATTGCAGTTATTTTACTGTAAGAAAAGCACTTTATTCTAAAATTATCACTATTATTGATAATTTTGTCGGACACAAAAACTGAATTGACACTTGTGACGACAGAATACAACTGTACTGAGAGTGTACAAATTCTACGTTGCCATCTATTGTACTAGAATATATTTGCTCCTAATCCTAAGCTATAATTGGAAGTGGGTTCATTGGTTTTTAAAGCAAACGCGGTTCTTCAGAAAATATAACTCGAGAAGGAATTATTTATTTTCATAGAAGATAAAATCTTACCCCGATAGAAACACATTGGTCATCCGTGCCAGCAGGAAACTTGACGATAAACTTAGAACCAGTTTTCTCCTCTGTATGGTTGAGAGGACGAAACCGACAGATTACTCGGATTGAATCCTCGCTCGGAGGCGTCTCCTTCTCCTCCGACATTCTCCAATTTAACGATAACTAACTGGTTTAGAAATGTACAGAAGTTTAATTTGCTTAAAATAACTTTATCACTGGCAGTCCAAGCATAGTAATATTCACCTGAAAATAATCTTTATAATAAAGCTCTTCGCTAATATATATATATATATATGTTTGTATAAACATTTAAACATGTTTCTTGACTGATGAGGAACGAGAGATCCGTAACAGTTTGTATTAATAAAGATGAAAAACTGAGACTGCTCTGTATATATTTCTTCAAAGATATATTTGTATATATGTTAAATAATAGCTAGATCTAGCCAAACGATTGGACTGAATTTTTTGAGGAAACCCATGGGTATATACCCTAGGTTTAACATAAGCTATAAAATTAAAAACTTTTTCTGGCAGCGCCGGGCACTTTAGCTAGTATTTATCTATATACTATTCAGTATTCACACCGTATTAGAAGGAAAAGGGATTAGGTACTGAAGCTTAAACCTTGTTAAAACTTCCTAGATACAGATCTTTCACGCTCAGGTGGACAAGGCCATCTAAATATACAAAGTAAGATATCTTCACTTTAATCTTGAACACAAAATTTTCTTATTTATTGATATTGAATGTTAAAATGATAGAACCTAAACGCGTTTTTGGATAACATTCTTTGTAAATAACAATTCAATATACTTCACATTGAATTTTTAAGGCTAAAAAACACTCAATTTCGCCATTTTCTCAAAACTTATTGTACTTTGGTTTTGTTTTTATTTTTAGAACCGTAATTAATAAGGGATGGTAATAAATAGGTGCGCATTAGGCGCAAAGACATTTATCGGCAGTTATAGTCGAAAAAAGGTCAATTTTACACTTTGTGACACCACATTTTGTACAGGCTGCATTTGGTCTTAAAAATTGTGATAGAAGGCTGAAATTTTGCATGCAGCATCTTAATGTGATCATCCATACGAATCAAGAACACAATTTGGGATCGGAGGTCAACGACCTCCATTATGACTTCCTAAACTTTAAAATTGGGAAATTACCAATTGCTTCACACCAACTCATTCATAAAAAAATAAAACGTGTGCCAACAAAAACACAGATATTCGACCTCCGGTTTGACCTCTTCTCTATTATGCTCTCGAATATGTCAAGATCTAAGTATAGAGACTAAATAAAATGTAATGTTTAGTGTTTGATTTGATTTCATTTGATGGATCCTATTTTGTAAAAGAATGTTATTACACCCTAGCAGTAGTTTACCTCCACCTATGCATGACCTCCTCTGGAGGTTAAAATTTACTGTTACTGAAAACGGGTCGAGTTAGGTATGAAATCATATTTTTATTGATGTTCTAATTCCATTAAAATGCAACCTTTTGACGTGAAATTATTTTTAAGGTCGTTGAATATGTGAAAGATTTTATGATATGATTGGAAAACATTATTGGTGGCCGTGTAAGTTTGTTGTATGAGGAAATATGTCTCAAAATCTTGCGACTCTTCCTTTAGAGTTCTTCTGGATGCTCAGTATTAGATTTAAATCAAAACTGTCTGGAATAATCTTTTCTGGTCGAACTATTTTGAGCACCTTTATTTTGAAAAATCTAATTACTAATTCTGGGGAAAAATGCTTTTCAGAGATATCCTACTTAATTCTGTGGATGTGGACACGCAGAGGAACCCCATCAAGAACACCGCAGTGGAGAAGTGAGCCATCGGAAAATCAACATATCAACATTTTTTTACATATATCCTGAATTTTTTATACTTTGTAAACTTATTTTTCTTCGACTTTGAAAATGGACGAACTTGATTTCTCAAAATGCCGGGCCTGAATTAAAAGGATATGGTAGTAGCTAAAGACAAAAACTGCAAAATTAAGTCTCTAAGCCGAAAAATGACAACTTACAGCGTATACCAAGGAGATATTGAATAGAAGGAGGGGGCGATAGGGTTTCCGTACACTTTGCTGTGACGTTTTTGGACTGCTGCATGCTGAAGAACTAGTTTTTGCGTAACAACAATAACAATAGGCAGCCGATCTAATGTAGACAAACATGAGTTAGTAAACTGTGAAAGTAGTACTATCTTGTTAAAAATGATTGAAAAAGTTAAGGATCTTAGTTTTATACGAAAAGGACCTTATTACAGAAACATTTTCAATCAAATTCAAGGTTATCCTCCCCCCCCCCCCAGATGTCTGTTTATCATTTGTGTTATTGTTTACAATCTTTATTATTGTTGTTACGCAAAAACTAGTTCTTAAGCAGTACAAAAACGTCACAGCAAAGTATACGGAAACCCTATCGCCCCCTCCTTCTATTCAATATCTCCTTAGCGTATACCAACTTTTGAGTGTGAATAGATAAAAATGTTCGAAGAATTCGTTGAATTTGACGATGGACGAACTTGAAATCTCTAAATGCCGGCACTGTATTCAAAGGATAGGGTGAGTAGCTAGATAAAAACGTAAAAATGAGGTCTCTAAGTCGAAAAATGACAACTAACAACGTATAGAACTTTTGGAAGTTTATAGATAAAAATGTTTCCATGAATTCGTCAAATTGGACGATGGACGACCTTGAAATTAGCAAATGCCGTCACTGATTTCAAAGGATACGGTAGTTAGCTAGACAAAAACATAAAATTTAAGTCTCTAAGTCAAAAAATGACAACTAACAACTTATAGCGACTTTTGGTAGTTTATAGATGAGAATGTTCCCACGAATTCGTCAAATTGGACGATGGACGAACATGAAATTTGCAAATGCCGGCACTGATTTTAAAGAATACGGTAGTTAGCTAGACAAAAACATAAAATTTAAGTCTCTAAGTCCAAAAAAAGACAACTAAAATCGTATAGCGACTTTTGGTAGTTTATAGATGAAAATGTTCCCACGAATTCGTCAAAGTGGACGATGGACGAACTTGAAATTAGAAAATGCCGGCACTGATTTTAAATGATACGGTAGTTAGCTAGACAAAAACATAAAATTTAAGTCTCTAAGTCGAAAAATGACAACTAACAACGTATAGCGACTTTTGGGAGTTTATAGATGATAGCGACTTTTTGAGTGTGAATAGTTGATAATATTAAGACGAATTAGTCGAATTTGACGATGGACGAAATTGAAATCTCAAAATGTCGGCAATGTATTCAAAGGATATGCTAATTAGCTAGACATAACAGAAAAATGGATGAGGTAAGTAACTAGACAAAAAAACAGGATATTAGAAAAAATGATGAAGTAGTTGATGTTGATTTTCAATGATTCTGTTCTCCACGGCGGTGTACTTGATGGGGTTCCTCTGCGCGTCCACCTCCACACAGTGAAGTGGGGTATCTCTGAAAAGCATTTTTCATGAAGATTAGTAATTCTTAATTGATATTGACTGAAAGGATTTAGATTTTTCTAGATGACCAAAAATAAAGGTGGCTCAAAATCATTTAATTCAGAAAAGATAAAATTTGAGATTGAATTATATCAACTATTTAGAGGGGTTGGCGATGCAATCCGATAATTTTCGGCGACATGCAAGCCAAACAACATTGATTTTTTACGAAAATGACGAGTTTGACCATGTCGGACTTTTAGAAAGCAAACTGCCGGCTCGAACATCGAAATGCTATATAAATCTTCAATAAATGCAATTTTTGGTCATGTACAAAATTGATAGGATGGGGGGGGGGTTCAAAAATCGTTCTTTAGGAATATACCATTAAACGTGTGCCTTGACTGTCTTTTCATTTAATGTTCATGCGGATCCGGATCCTGGATCCGCACAGGAAAAAATGGATCCGAATCCAAGTCATATTTCTTCAATATTTGGTAATTTAGTAATATCCGATTTTTGGACTCC